TCGCAAACCAGAAAAAATGAACTTTCCTGTATATATGAGCCCTTAAGTTGCAGACCCCATATCTCTATTACTTCACCACAAACATCCTCATGAAAGTTCTATTTTTTTTTTAAATTCAACATGATAAATAAATTATTTATTGATCTAGAGCAGCATTATTAAGGCTGTGTAACAAACAGGAATAATTGCAAATATTGTGTGACAATCTGCAAAACATGCTATGGCCTCATAGGTTGTCCATGCTTTCCAAATAATAGTTCGAGTCCCTGAGGCCCTAAGGTGACTTTTGTTGTACTCCTTTTGATTCACAAGCTAAATAAATACAAGGCAGTTTGGAAGAGGATTTCACAGTTTTAACACACTTTGGGCTAAAAAAAAAAACGAAAACAAAGTAATAAAATAATAATTATTAGAAATATTCATGGCTTCTGCATGCAGACTTGAACATGTTATGTTTATGTCCTTATTGGTTTAAGTATGATGGAAGCTGGATGAATGGAAGACTGTCTGGACCTGTTAACATGATCCTACCAAACCATGTTTATCTGGGAACATTTTACGACAGTTTAGTAAGTATTAATTCTTATGAAATTTGTGTGGACAGGGATCCAATGGTTTGTGCGGAAATGACAGGAATAAAACAAGTTAAGTGTAACCAGAAACTCGTAACATAATAAAATAGTAAATATAGAATAAGCTTAATAAAATATTATCAGGGGCATAGCTGAGCCTCCATGCCTATAGTACGCATGTGAATAACCTGGAGAAAAGACAAGGATAAATTTAAGACAAAGTAGAAAAGCAAAACAAAGGGGGGAAACTGGAAAAGGCACTTTTCCCTACAAAGTCCCCCTAAACTTTTTCAAACAAAATGCAGTGTTTTCCCCAATTATTCTTATGTCTTGTACAATAGCCATAAATGCAGCCTTAAGAACATGGTCTTTATCACAGCAATAAAAAAATGGAAGTGTAATCAAGTCAAATTATGATCATTGGAGTGTACTCCATTTTGGTCTGTAGCCCACACAAGCGGTAAAAAAAGACAGACAACCACATATTACTTTAATCAACAGTATAATATATATGATTATATATGGACAGAATTTGGATTACACAACTTTGTGTAGTAATAATGTTTAAATCATAACCAAACCAAAATAAAATATGTGACAATTTCAACTTATATTTCATGAAAACACAAGATCTCCAGAGTGTTTGCTATTCCTAAGTGTGGAAAAATAACAATATCAGAGTGCATGCAGCTATCCCAGTATGCACAAGTGCATGCATACAGTCCAACTACATAATTTATTATTGTACTATCAAATAGAGTTTTCTATTACATTAGGGAGCTAAAGCAACCACGACAGCAATGGCTACAAAGACATCACTTAAAAAGTGAAATTGTTCTGCCTTAGAATTTTTTCGCACTTATTCCATTTCATCAATTTTTTTTGGAGTTGATAAAATTCTAAAGGATAGTATCAAAGTCTGGGAAAAGAAAAGAAAGTTGTCGGCGTGTTCCCATCCTCAACAAAATGTGAAATTAGGCACTATCAAGTTGTAGTCATGCAATGACAGCTAAGAATTTTACAAAAAAGCATGATGCAGCTGCAAAGATGTTGTTTCTAACCGCATTGCTTTTTTGCCGTCGTTGTTGGTGAAGCTCCCTATTGTCCTGCTAATGCTGAAATCAGGTCTTCCAATATAGCCACCTGAGGGAGTTTTATGGGTTTTAAACTTGCATAGATAATTTACATCATAATTTGTTAGAACTAAATATTATTAATTTCCACATACTAGCCATGTGGACCAGGCAGGTATGTCTTTGACTTTGGAGTTGAACAGCATGGGGAATACATTATTACTGAGAAGGTATCTACATATTAATTATTTTATTTCAATACATTAATATTAATATGACCATACTGTATGTCTAAACCAAATAAGTATAGATGTTCATTACCACGATATTTTTACCATGAATCTGTCCCTCTTTGACCAATTCTTTTAGGCATTCTCCCTTTAAATGTCTCTCGTGTCAAAGCTGTGTAGTCCATATTGTTGATATATGTTGCTAGTTAAATGTCTATGGAGCATAATGCTTGCAAAGTTATTACTTGCAAATGACCAAATCACAGCTTCATGTCAAACAAATGTATCTACCAAGCATTAAAATAAATGAAAATGTTACAAACAACAAAAATGACCTTTGAAAATTTGTTAGCCAGTAGTCCAACAAGTTTTCAAATACCATGTGCTTTAATCTTTTTCAAGTTTGTTCACCCATGCCTTTTCATACTTTTTTCTAATGTTTTGGGTGGTTAATTTTGTTTCGCTCAAGTTGGTGACAGTTACGATTGTTTGAATTTCAATAAATTTTATGACAAAGCTCCTTTAAATGAGCCTTCCCCTTCCCCAACTTAAAAAAAAAGGCGACAAAAGGTTGATTTCCAATGATGCGCTTTTGGCTACACATGTTAACGCATGTAAATTTTAATCACATAAATAAAATAGAAGCACGATAAAAAGTGCTGTCAGCTTAACTGAGAAGATGAGCGAGGTTCAACTTTATGCACATAAAAATTACGCAACACTTGAAATCAACCCTAAGGGCAAATCAAGTCTTTGAGACCTTGAAGTAAATATTTATCTGTTGTGATGTGATTTGTAATTTGTGCCTTTTGCTCTCACAAACAGTTAACAGAAAACGAGGAACAGATAATGGATGTTCCTGTCTGGAAATGCAAGCCAGATCTTTATCCACTGGGTTCAACAAAATAATAAACAAAAGGAAACAATCACCTATGCAAGCCATGTCAGGTTCATGTGTTAGACAGTTAGGGCTCAGCATACTTCATATTAATGACTGCTCTCAAAGGTTTTCCACAGTTTACAGTCATTTTCATGTTTTTATATTCTGTCTGGTAGAGAAAACCTTTCATTACCAAGCCCACTGATATATAACTGGTTTGATCTCGTAAATTGTATTTTAATCGTTCACTTTTATGAATAAAGTAATACTGTACCAAATCTACAAGAAATGCAAGTTAATATTGATTTTATTGAAGGCTGCACAATGATATCTATAATATTAATTACACTCATACATACTATTAAGTGTTCTTTTTCAGTCATGTGCTTATGTGGAAACATCTTAATGATCCCCCCCAAAAATCTGAACTTGTTAAACAAAATTTCATTCTTCAGGACAGTTATAAACACCTTTCGACCAGAATTTGATCTTAAGAAGGAACGGGTAATATACAACACAATTAACATTCTGAACACTAATGAAGGTTACCAATGTAATATTTACCATTAAATTATTGATAAACTGAAAAATTACTATTCACCACTCTTTTAAATAATATTGCATGTTCTCAATATAATTCTATAAAAAATAACACATATTCTAATTTTGAAAGTACTAAATTAAAATGAAATAACTACCTACTTAAAAAATACTGGAAATGTTGGGATTTATGATATGACTACCATTTTCCTGTTACCTGCTTATCAGTAAATATTATTATTTATTATATAGACATGAGTGTTTTACTGTAAAATATACCACTCGTAAATTCATAAAAACTACATCCGGGACCCAAGTGGTTTATTTTCCATAATCTCACATGAGAGTTTATTGATGACGTAATTTTGGTAATTTCCCTCTATTATTTTATCGATGTCATTTTGTCTATATAATAAAAAGAACATTACACGGCGGCTTGAAGATATGAATGTTATGTTCGAGTGGCAAAAACAATATTTTACTCACTCGCTGCGCTTGTTTGTAAAATATTGTTTTGCCACTCGAAAATAAAATTCATATCTTCGCGTCACCGTGTAATATCCTCTATGTATACAGCCCAACCTCCACTAACAGCCATCTCTCACAATGACCACTTTTTTGACGGACAGTCCATACATTGACTCTTGTTTAAACCTCTCTACAACGGCCACCTTTCCGCAACGGCCACTTTCTTCTGTCCCAAATGGGCCATTGTGGAGAGGTTCAACTGTATGGAGGTAAGCAATAATTTACTTAACCCATGCTGATTAATAAAGAAGCAGAGCTCATAAGTGAGTGGTGGCCCCATGAACTGAAAATAGATTTATTTGTTCAGCTCACCCAGATAATGGTATCAACAAAAATGAAAAATAAATTTGTATACTACATAGTCTTAAAGGGAAGTATCACATATATGCAATACACCAGACTTACACATCACTGGTACATTTATATTTTTTCTGTTTTGCACTCACTAGTTCAACTCCAGGGAACCAACACACCATAATTGATGGTTCTGAAAACTGCAACCTGACACTTTTTTTGTACTCTGTATTTTTATTCCTCCACTGAAGCACAAAATTATGAATATCAATAATAGTTTTTTAAAGTAATTTATGAACATGTTAGTGAAGTATTAATCCACATGTTTCCTTCCCATTTTTAACCAAGGACACTTTTAATAAATTTTAATGTACTTAAAAATATAGAATTTTTTAGTGAGACCACTTTAAGTGTATTTATCTTACCATAAACATTTCTGTTGGGTTTTTACACAGTGTCTAATCATTGAGAAACTGTCCCTTATGTATAAAAAGACTATAGAATAATTCATGCATAGAATAAGGCCCCCAGTGACTCCTGAACTCTTGACTTAACCCTTTAGTTTAAGCTTTAATAGTGACCAACATCAACTTTCTCATCACAATATCAATACATCATCAAGAGATAAGGTTATGAGAATTAATGAAATGATCACCTCAGGAAAAATGCTTTGATCTTTTATCAAATTCCTATAATCTCCACTAATTCTTCATGGAAATGTATGGAGATCATTCTGGATTCTTGCTTATGGGTATTGCAACTAAAAGGGTTAATATCAAATTCTTACATTGATTCACAAGCTTATAAAAGGCAAATTGAAAGGAGAAATCTAGTAGTTTCTTAAATTCACTTGGGGCTTTTAATCCAGGCAACCCTTGATTTACTATTTCCTTTTCTTTTTTCCAAAGAATCTCTTTCTTGCAAATCTAACTATAAAAAATGCCCATATCCAGCCTATTAAATACAAACCTGTACCGCCAAGCTTGACAAAAAGTTTTGGTTTAGGAGACACAATGACCGTCCGATACCATAACAAAGATCCAGGTCCCAGACGCCAACAAATGAAAACTGTCATAAAGATAATATCATTTACTTTCGCAAGCAATGTTTCATACTGTCCTGTTTCTCGTAAAAACCATCTCAGTTGTAAGAAAGGGTTAGAAATTTCTGTTCCAAGTATTGTCGCAACAAGCTCTGGTCCTGAATACTCGTTGAAAAGGATAAACGCTATACCACTCACTGATATCATATGGTGAAACAACATGTCCAATCCTTCTGTTCTCATGTACAAACACCAGAGAAAATCAAAAATGAAGTATCCAAGAGTAAATGTAGCAATGAATGTTTGAAAAGGAGTATTTGCTTCTCCCATAAACACCAATGGCCAAGGTCCTGTGATAAACCCACACCAGAAAGACAATATTGTAGTCAATGATGCATGTATTATAGTGACTAGTCGGCAGTTCCATTCATAACTTCGATGAGGGTTAACAAAACATAATAAGCAATACAAGCTTGTCCAAACAAAAAACATTGACATGCAGGGAAGCAAGAGGGCCATAAAATCCATGCTGGCGGAATACATGCAGGTCAATGCTAGAATCAAAATAAAACAAAAAAAGCTACATTACAGCAACACATTCATTATATAGTACATAATACATACTATAGTGGTGGATCTTGACCTTGAATAAAAGGGGAAACCACCCCCCCCCCCGACCCTGTGATAGTAAGAGGGGGCCTAAGATAAGGGGAGGGGACCCCTCCCTCAACTTTAAATTAAATTTTACCAGTTGCTCAAAAGGTGCATAACATTATTATTCATTCAAAAAATTTTTCCGTTTCTGATTGGCTAAAATTCCACACATAATTCATCATAACCAGCTACAGTTGACCAAATTTGGAAGAATTTTGCAATATGTGAGCTGATGACATCAGTTGTGTGGCAAAATTGCTAGATTATTGAACGGTTAACCTAGAAGACCTGAGGACGAGGTTGAGTTGTTTTGGTAGTGAATACGAAATGGTGGAATGTTTCACTCCTTCACAAGAAGAAGTAGGCAAACTATTGGCTAAAAACATAGAAAGAACAGCAAGAAGACAACTTGACGGAGGACACCTGCTATTTGGAGAATATTTGCAGAACTGAACGACCCTTTATCTCCTAAACTTGCTGAAAAACAAGCACTATGAAGATGAACTTATCATTGATAGAGGTAAGCATGTTTTAGCTTGTTTTTAAACTAAATAAATAATTTAATTATTTTGAATGAAAAATAAAACAATTATTGAGCTTTCGTATCATCTGAAGAATTATGGAGATCTCAGAGGGTGTTGTCTGCCTTGGCCAATAATTCTTCAGATGATACTCAGTCTCATTCAATAATTGCTAAGTATCCATTGGATGACTCCTTATCTAGTCCTATGAACTGGCACTGCTGCAAACGCTTTCTTCCTGGTTTCAGGATCATTTCCCAGAAATTACACCAGTTTTGCAGTTTCCTGGTTAGAGCAGCCATCATATAATGTAATCACCAAACCAAGGCATTTTAGTTTGCCCCTTATGGAATTTTCAAGTACATATGTATTTGTGCATTATTTTGATTCACGACCACACATCCTTGGAGGTTGTGGGGGGAGGGGGGGGAGGTTACTAGCCAAGCTTCTGGTATTTGAAAGGGTAGGGATTTCATTAGACTTGCCAAAAAAGTCGACCTCAAGAGTTTCACTTTCTCAGCAGAGAGCAAGCAAACCGACCTCTTAAGGCTCTCACAGAAGAGTGCAAGTGGAGCAAGCTTTTTGGAGTGAATGAAAGGGTAGGGAAATCTCTCATGTCAGTCTTTGAAAGTTGCATTTTAAGGATGTGAAATATACAAGAAAACATCCTGATTAAGAGAGTTATTCATACTAAAAGAAGGTGCATTTTAGCAGTTAAAAGGGATGCATTGTTAAATACTAGCTTTGTGAAAGCAATATCATTTGTCAGTAGAAGGTATATGAAAAGGGTGCCTCTTCTGCAAAAAATGCTATATTAAAGGACAAGGGTCACAAGGGGTTTGGACTTTGGGGTGGAGACTCTTGTAAAAAACTTCATCGAGAACCCCTCCCCCTCCCCCCGGGTTACCACCATAATAACCAGGGTGAATCACAGAAGGAAGCCAGTGGAATGTTGCCATTGCTCTACAGTACCTGCCACTCCAACCCTTACAATAAATCAGTGACTTGGAAGATCGAATTTTCTACATTTGTTCCTCAGATACCATTTTCTTGAGGAATAAAAAGCCAACCATAATCCAAATAATCGTGAGAGGCATCCTCTTTTAAGGAGACGTGTCCCAGCATACACCCTATCAAGCAAACCCGAAAACGTGACGTCCAAAATCTACAACAATTCGGCATTCAGCATAATTAAATAGGTCAATTTACATTGCCCACTGCAGATAGAGATTCCCTTGTAAAACCTTAAACCAATATAGATGTAAGTTAACTTAATCTTATCAAAACACGAGCACAGTGAACCTGAGTGAACTCTGGAACGCGCGGGTTAAGCCGGTTGCATGCAGGAATGGGAGTTCTTTCCGCATTATAATCGTTATGATGCTAAGCCAAATCAAACGAATGCGTTTAGTACTGCTTATTTGCTTTTTAAATTTTTTCAGAAAAGGAGTACAAATCGAAGGCATTTTTAGCATTATCAGCCTGCATTAAGACCAAAACATCAAACTTTGCTTTAGCTTTGCGAGCTTGCCAACACTTCAGATCGATGGCAAATAATTTCTACTACCGATAGCTATCGAATTTGATAGAAGCATTAATTAAACCTAGAATAGTGTATAAAACTTACCTGAGTTTGTCCCCAGTTAGTGTACGACCGTAAGTACGTGAGTCACGCTAACACATAGCCACGTTTCTTGCAGCTGGGTTGCACGAAAGCGTTCAAAATTTGCGAGGTTTTATCGAAATAGTCACGTGATTTTCAACAGGAAGTGATTAAACCGGATGTTCATCTCACACGCTGCCTTCACCTCAAAAGGGTTTCATTTTTTTTGTACGCTGTGGCTATAACAATTACATTCCGAGTGGAAATACAATCTTCAGATGTAAGCATCGAAATTCCATAAAAGGAATAAACTATTTTCCAGTCTCTAAATGTATTATCCATTTTGTATTCTGGTGCAACGTCTCTGAAGGAAAAGCTCGACCGATTTTTCTATTATGTGCGGAAGGAACTTAACTGGAAAACTATAGTCAACCCAGTCACTAAACAAAATGCAACGGTTAGTTTTCTAATAGTTTATTGACCCACTTCAATGTTACACTCCATGGTTTCGCCAGATTGTTACTGCCACACCTGCAATTATCCTGTTTGCGTTCCCACCAACAAAGACTGAGAGGGTAATTTACTGAAAGCTTTTTCCATGTCATGAACGAATGCGGTCTAGCCTGGATGAAGATGTAACTTGGGACTTAAGTCTGATTCTCTGCATGGTTTAAAAACTAAGTATAACTAGCAGCTAGACACGAATCCAGGTTTGTTTTTATAGACAAAAGCGCCTAAGATAACAACATGGACAGAATGCATGGGTCCTGTTTGACTTTCGCCATAGACATAATGTCTGAGTGCATGCTTCTAGCTTGCCTCGGGTTTTCTACTTTCGCCTTCATCTCCTTCGGTCGCGTTAGTTTGTTCCTCCTTTTGTTCAGCGTTGTTCACCACGGTATCCCCATCAGGCATTGCATTCTTAGTCACCTCACCCTTAACACCGCTGTCCTCTCCTTGAGTTTTTCCTTCAGTAGCCTCGCTATGGGCAGCACTTGCTTCAGAAACTGCCTGCCTTTCAGGTGAGTCTGGTGAGCTGTTTTCCTCAGCTTCAGGCTCTTGAGCCTCGCCATCTGTTCCAGCTACCAAATTTTGAGGAGGTGTAGCACATTCCCCTTGAGCACCTACATCTTCTTCAGCTGCTGCTTCCTGAGTATCTCTCCCTTCAGCTTCTACCTCCTGCGGACCCGCAGCACCTTCTTCCCTGGTACTATTGTCTACTTTATCTGTCCCCTCTTGAGCGTTACCCTCTTTTTCAGCAACCACCCCCTCCTTGGTATCTACCTCAACTAGCTCCTGTTGGGTTGCATTAACATCCTGTTCATCATTCACATTTTTGGCTACTGCCTCCTCCTTTCTGTCTGCCTCAACTGCTTCTTCTTGACCACTACTAGCACTATCTGGCTCAGCCAATACCTCCTGGATAGCATCTTCCTCTCCCTGGGAGACAACACCCTCAGCTACTGCCTCCTGAACACCACTGTCAGCCTCAACTATACCCTGAGCAGTATCGTCTTCTGCAGCCTTTTGTACAATACTGTTCGCCTCAGCTACAAGTTCCTGGTTAGCCTCATGTTCAGCTGCAATCCCGTCCGGACCAGCATCTGTTTCAGTAGTTACCTCTTCAGGACCATTTTCAGTTGCTGCTTCCTGGACACCACTGTCTGCATTTTCTGTCCCATCTGCAGCCTCTACCTCCTCAGATTTGCTTTCTGCCTCCGTTATCACCTGCTGATCAGCTCCATCTTCAATTGCTGACCCCTGAGCAACACCACCTGTCTCAGGTGTTACCTCCTGAGCAGCAGCATCATCAGTTGTTGCTTGATCCTGAGCACTAATGTCTGCATCGGCTGCCACCTCTTGAGTGCCATCTTCCGTTGCTGCTTCCTGAACACTACCATCTGCCTCAGTTGCGACCTGCTGACCAGCACTACTTTCACTTACTGTCTCCTGTTCAACGCTGTCTCCCTCGACTGTCACCCCCAGAGCAGTGCCTTCTTCAGCGGCTTCTTCCTGAACATTGCTCTCTACCCCAGCTGTCACTTCCTGAGTACCACAGTCTGCCTCAACTGATGCTTCTTGGACAGCACCATCCTTAGCTCGTGGCTCCTGTGCAGTACTATCTCCCTCAGCTGTTACTTCCTGGGTAACACTATCTCCACCTGTTACTTCTTGAAAACCACTGTCTTCAACGACTGCTACCTTCTGAGAATCTTCATTTTCAGCTGCTGTCTCCAGAGGACTGAAATCATCCTGAGCTGCCACCTTTTCAGAAGTATCATCTTGCACTGAATGCTCCTGAGCGTCACTGTCATCCTCACATGCCACGATCTTGGCAACAGCGGCTTCCTCCTTAGCAACACCATCTCCCTCTACAGCTGTCTCCCGACTTCCACTATCTACCTCACAACCATTTGGCTCCTCTACCTCGTCAGCACCTTTTGTTGCTTCACTTTTTTCCTGATCAGCAATTTTCTCCCCACCTAACTCCTCTTTGGCTCCTCTTTCTCCTTGAGATTGGTCTTCTCTAGTGATCTCTTCGAGAGCTGTGTCATCCGGTGAAATTTCTTCCTGGGCAGAATTGTCTTTTTGCGCTGCACTTTCACTCTCTTTTTCGGTTACCTCCTTAAGAAAAGACACCTCCTCCTGAGCCACTTCTTTAAGGAGAGCAACTTCCTGAACAGGAAGCTCACTTGCAACTGCCTCTTCTTCCACAGCGCCCTGAGCTACTTCCGGTGCCGTTCCATCCTCCTGGAAAACTGCGATTTGAGCAGCACTATCATCTTGAGATTCTCTCTCCT